ACTGCACCATGGCGAGACCTTAACCGGACCGTGGTCCGGCTCAAAAAACAATCACGATGAATCTGCTCACTACATTGTGGTCGGCCCTTATCTATGTTTTGGTCTGCTTGATAGATTCCAAACCTTATTTAGTCCTTAATCTGTGAAGATAATCCTAATACTTTCCAAAAAGCTTCATGTCACCCTAATGGTTAATAAAAATCATAACTTTATGGTCATACATATCCTTCACCAAACTAGATTAAAATAAAGGAAAATGTGGTGAAATCTCCATGCATGGCACCAAAACAAGTTGTGAATCTAGATCTGAAACATAAAATACTCATGGGACTTAAAAGAGTAATAAACTTGAAAAATTATTGCAATAAATGCTCAAAACATCATAAACAAGGAGAAACTAGCAAACCAGATTCTAACAAGCTTCTTGCCTCTTTGCTTTCAAATGAGCACTCAAAAACCTGCAACGAGCAAAACAATCCCAAAAAAGTACCGAAAATAGAGGAGAAAAGAGGCTCATACTTGTGAAAAGGAGGCTACGGTTTGCTCCAAAAGAGCTCTTGATGTGATGGAGGCTAAAAATGACCAATAACATAGAAAAATGCGTTTAAATACGAAGAAAAACACTAATTTTTTGGGCTTGGGCTACACAACTCACCATGTCGTAATATTTATATGCACACAAAGGTATTAACAAGCCTCACAATTATATCTAATTACTTTTGACTTAAAACATACTGGACTTAATTCATTAATACATGAAAAGAGTTTGCAATATCACTTTTTCCATTTTAGCCCTTTAGCTCCAAAACACAGTTCATGGGCTCAAATCACTTAACCAACATTATCAACATCTAATAAGGTCCAAACTTTAACCCATGAAATCTGCTACTTTTACTTGATGAAATTACAGTCTGCTATCCAAAAATAAGAAACATCCTGAAATTAGATGTTACAGTATGCAATACTTACGTAATTGTTGATACACACTTTAGGTAAATAGTTTAACCAACATTCATAAGTGATAATATTTGGAGGAAACAGAGTTTCATTTTTTTTATTGGAATACAACAACATATAAGGAGAATGGAGAAATAGATACACAAATTTGTGGGATGGAAGAAACAAAACTTTTTATTTTGTGAAATTAACAATCTATGGATGCCGTTTCTAAGCTTTTTATATTTGTTCTATATTAAGATGAAACTTTGGAGGTAAATTTCAGCAAGATGTGATCGATTCAGGGTTTTGGATGTTTATGAAGTGTATAAACATTGCTTTTCAACATATATTTATAAAGGGGTATAGTAGTCAATTGATAAAAACATCAAAATTATAATTATGTTTAAGAAAGAAGATTAGGGTAAATATAATATTTTTAAACTTATTAAGGGTAAATATGATATTTAGAAATTAAGTTATATATATTATGTTTAAGACGGATATATGAAAGTCTCCCTTTAATCTTTGGTCGGTTACACAATACCCAATACCACCACTAGAGTGTGTTGGTTTCTTTTGTTGTATAAATACAACTTCAAGACCACCATTTGGAAACACTATAAAATCACAATACACTCCTCTAATCTACTACTTTGCTCCTTTTTTGCTACTTGATGGTAAAATCCAAGCCTTCTATAAGTTCGATGGTCTAGTAGAACCACTTAAAATTGTTGTATGTATCTTGGCACCCCATCGTGAACATTTTTTTAAGGTTACTATATTAAACACAAAATTTTTTGTTTTTCTTGTTTGACAAGGATACTTGAAAACCCTGAAATCATGAAAGAAAAGGATACTTGACCCTAAGTTCTTATAAAAAAAGCCTTTATAGCATTAGTTATATTAAATGTGAGGCATCGAACACTTATGTAATGCAAACAAGGAGAAGAACCTTGACGAAACTATTACATAAGCAAAACATCTAAGTGGGGGAACAAGTATTCAACGGTCATTGCAAAATTGACAAAATTTTCCGTTTATATTATGGATAGATAGAGGGAGGGAGGGAGGGATGGAGATACTATCATTTGCATATGGTAGTATATATATATATATATATATATATATATATATATATATATATATATATATATATATATATATATATATATATATATATATATATGTCCTCATTTCTATTCTGTTGAATGGCGAGTTATAGATGAGTTGTTTTTTACGTTTTCCATGAACAAAGGTATTCTATACATATAGAACAACAGAGGCGGTATAAACTAGAGTCTCATTCTCATGCACTACTATGCTTACGATTTATTACTTTTTATGGTTTTGGCACTTTAGCACAGCAAAGTTTGGCGAATTTACACATTCAGTTACTCAAGTAATTTTTGTGCTCAATTGGTCCTTAACGTTAGGAAATACTAACTAATTAAGGGTTTGGGGGAAATTTTATTCGGTTCACGGGTGACATGCTGACATGGTTGAATGTTTTGAGTAAAACCCATATGGGGTTTGTAGCATTGTGTCACAACAAAATTTGGCGAATTTACAAATTTAGTCACTCAAGTAATCGGTTGTCCTGTTTCAAGTTATATACTTGTGTAATTGATAGGTAAAATTTAACTTTAATGGTTTATTAGGCACAAAAAAACTTGAGCGACTAAGTGTGTAAAATGACCAAACTTTGGTGTGCTACAGTGCCAAAAACCATACTTTTTATGCCCAGCATACTTGTTGGGAGTTGTTTCATTATATGTGTATCTATATGGTATGCCCTTTGAATACAAAAAACAGAAATTTATTACATACAAGAATATGGATTGTGACAAAGCTCATGATCCATTCTCATGTAGCCTTTTCTTAATACATTTTATCATTTTATATATCTGAAGCTGACATATGAGGAGATTTTATCGGCATAGGGACGCACTTCAAGGTATGAGAAATTTTTATAGCCAAAATAGCATATTGTGCAATTTTCTGCATTTCATGTCTTATCTCATAACGCTAAACAGAATACAATGAAGTCTAAATAGTTCCTTGTTCAAGTTTCTTAGAAAAATGGGACATTTGTCTCAATACAAATGATAAAAAAAATCCTACTCGTCAGTCACCTACTCATGATAACTAAGAATGTTGTATACAAGTAATAATGTACCCAAACGAGAAGCTAGATCCATGAACGTATATTCACTGCATGGAATAGTAGCTTTTTGCAAGCCAAAACTCTTCATCTGATTCATTAAATTTGTCCTATGTAGCTTTTTGCAAGAATAATCTTGCGCGATAAGAAACTCTTGTATATTTGTACTAAATGTGTTTGCATTCCTCCACTAATAATTGTTGCAGTTCTTATAGCTATCTTCCAATGAAAATCAACTTATAAACGTCCGAGCTCCATAGGCATCAGGTTGATTTTATGTTTTCTTTAAACAAAAATTGCATTATGAACTATGTATAAAAACACTAGAGGGTACAAAACAGGAAAAAAAATAGAACATAAAATGAAACAGAACATGCAGTGTTTTACGTTAAAGTAAGCCTGGTGTTGTGTACTTCATATTTAAATAAATATTTCTTAAACTGAATACAAATATTTATCTCTTGTATAACTACACTCTCATTCTCATGTACTACTATGTTTACTATTTATTACTTTTTATGCTCAGTCTCATTCTCATGTACTACCAGTCATCACACCCGGGCAACTAAAAACTCGGGGGTTATAAAACATTGATTTTATCTGCGTATAGTAGGGACACACTTCAAGGTATGAGAAATATTTAGAGCCAAAATAGTAGATTGTGCAATTTTCTGCATTTCATCTCTTATCTCATAATGCTAAACAGTATACAATGAAGTCTAAATAGTTCTTTGTTCAAGTTTCTTACAAAAATGGGACAATTGTCTCTAATTACAAATGATAAAAAAAAAAAATTCTACTAGTCAGTCACCTACTCATGATAACTAACAATGATGTATACACAAGTCATAATGCGCCCAAACGAGAAGCTACATCGGTGAACGTACATTCACTACATGGAATAGTCAGGCCACCCATTGGATGACTATACCCAAATTCTTCCTGAGCCTGATCTAGCAGTTGTTGAAAAGTAGGTTGCATTAACAACCATACAGGAACTACAAATCTCTTCTTCTCTTGCTCACCAACATAAACCGCTAAACAGCCTTTTGGGATATCCATAGATTTTGTTGTGCCACTTCCATTTGTGAATGACCATTTAAGAATTTGCTTTGCTTGAGTGATGCGAGGCATAAGGATGGCCATTTTATAAGGAGGGTATTGTCTGTTAACTTCAAAAGGCTTACGGTGAATGAAAATTCTCAAAACACGACTTCTTGGGGAAAAGTTGTGAATCTGTGGTTGTGTTATTCATCTTGAATGGTTTATATATCCATATGATATATGGAAAATTAGATGACAGATGGTGACATATGGTGGAAATGGGATCAATATCACATGCCTTTGTCTTTCATGTTGTAACATGGAAAAAAAATACATAATTAATTTGTGAATCTAAAAGAAAATATAGGATCACAAATATTTCACGGATTGGTTGGTCCATCCAAATAAAAAAACCATGTGATGATGCCTATACAAATGTTTCCTAATTAATGACGATGAGTTATATCCATATACATAATACGTACATCATAGGCCACACCTGTTGTAAGAAAACCCCAGTGATTTTAGACAAAACTATGGGTTTGTTAGGAAGTAGAGCCACACTCGCATTAATATCACATGGGCCCATGATGTTTGTAGAGTTAGAGAATACTTGCCATACATGTTTTCCTCCATGATTAATTCTTTTGGGTATACAAGTACAAGTTTAATCCGTTATTTTATCTCTGAATATATGGTTATGATATGTAAGATCATACTTTCTTGCAAGTTGAGAAACACAGCACATGATATTGCCTTTCTGTCACAACGTCCCTATCTGTAATTTAATTTCTTTCTTATCAACTACAGTACATTAATTTGAAGCTTCAATAAACCATTATATAATGAATCTGAAATGCAAAGAACCAGCACATGCACTTTCCTCTGTAACTCCTCCGCAAGATCTTTTAACAAAGAAAATACTCTCACAATCGTTTTACTTCCTACAGCAACCTTCATCAAATTGGGTATTCGTATGCCTCGGATCATTCAAGCAAAACACATTCTCCAAAGATCTTTGTCAAATGGAACTCGCACATCAACAATGGATCTACCAAAAGGCTATTTTGCAGTTTATGTTGGGGAGCAAAAGCAAGAAAAGAGGCGCTTTGTGGTTCATGTGTCGTTGTTAAGCCAACCTTCATTTCAAGACTTATTACATCAGGCAGAGGAAGAGTATGGATATGACCATCCAATGGGTGGCCTCACAATCCCATGTAGTGAGCACACATTCTTTGATCTCGCAACTCGTCTGGGCGCATTATGAGTTCAAGTTATTGTATTATAGTTGTTACGGTTTTTTTGTTAGCACTTATCACTAACCTTTTTGCAACATGTGACGCTCATCAGTTGTCCAGGTTGTTTTGAAACTCAAACTCGGACTTCTTTCAACTCCACTCTGTATTGATTAATGATATAATGTAGACTTGAATGACAAACGAAATTCAGTGTAACTAGTTTTCTCAACAACAGTTTTAACTCGATTTGAAGATTGTCTGTAGATTGATATAAGCATCTTATACGTATTTTCTCCTAGGATTCCTAAGATAGAATCATCTGATGCTTTAACTGTAAGAAAAGTCTTAAGAAGAATTCTCCAGAGCTAATACTCGGAAAGGGGAGATGCTCAAATTTCTTTTAGTAGATTTGAAGCATCAAACACCTAACTAAGCCATACTAGGAGTATCTTCTAGCCAAATTAAACTCTCACATAAGCAAAAAAGTCCTTGTGGGTGGCAACAAGTAATCAATATTTGTTGCCACATTAGTCTAAAACTTCTCATTTATCACTATGTATTAGGCTTTAAGCGAGGGGATAGCAGGAGAGGTTTGGAGACATACACACCTAGAGGGATTCTACCATTTTAATATGAATTAAAGATTTATCTATAAAAAAGCGGACATCATCAAAATAAATTTTGTGTATGTGGCTCTTTAATTATATAAGATTATAACAAGCCATACCCTTCATTTGATTCATTAAGGTGGCCCTATGTAGCCTATTGCCAGAATAATCTATAAGAAACTCTTGTATATTTGTATTAAATAAGTTTGCATTCCTCCTGTAATAGCTATCAGATCGATGCAGGTCCTCTAGTTCTCTTCCAATGAATATCAAGTTACAAATGTGTGAGCTCCATAGGCGTCAGCATACTCTTTTGGAGTTATTTCATTGTATGTTTAAACTAAAGTCCCATTCTAATCTGCTACTATATTTTTTACTTTTTATGCTCAGCATACTTTTTAGAGTTGTTTCATGATATGTGTATCTATATGGTATGCCCTTTGAATACAAAAATATAAATTTATTACATGCAGGAAGATGGATGGCGACAAAGCTCATGATCCTTTCATATAGACTTTTCTTAATTCTTTTTATCATTTTGCATACCGTTTTCTGAAAAAACAAACTGATATGACGTGGTTTTATCTTCTTAGGGACGCACATCATGGTATGAGAAATTATTATATCCAAAATAGTGGATGATGCAATTTTCTGCATTTCTTATCTCATAACGCTAAACAAAATCCAATAAACTCTTACAAATATGGAACAATTGTCTCTAATTACAAATGATAAAAACAAAATTCTACTGGTCATTTAACTACTCATGATAACTAAGAATGATGTATACAAGTCATAATGCGCCCAAATGTGAAGCTAAATCCGTGAACATATATTCACTACATGGAATAGTTAGGCCTCCCATTGTATGACTATACCCAAATTCTTCCTCAGCCTGATCTAGCAGTTGGTGAAAAGTAGGTTTCATTAACAACCATACGGGAACTACAAATCTCTTCTTCTCTTGCTCACCAACATAAACCGCTAAACAACCTTTTGGGATATCCATAGATTTTGTTGTGCTACTTCCATTTGTGAATGATCGTTTAAGAATTTGCTTTGCTTGAGTGATGCGGGGCATAAGGATGGCCATTTTATAAGGAGGGTATTGTCTGTTAGCTTCAAAAGGTTTACGGTGAATGAAAAGTATCAAAGCACGACTTCTTGGGGAAAAGTTGTGAATCTGTGGTTGTGTAATTCATCTTGAATGGTTTATATATCCATATGATATATGGAAGATTAAATGAAGGATGGTGACATATGGTGGAAATGGGATCAATACCACATGCCTTTGTCTTTCCTCTTGCAAAAAGGAAGAAAATACATAATTAATTTATGAATCTAAAGGCCAATATAGGATCAACAAATATTTCAAGGATTGGTTGGTCCATTGAAATACAAAAACCATGTGATGATGCCTATACAAAGGTTTCCTAATCAATGCGATGAATTATATCCATAAACATAATACATCATAGGCCACACCTGTTGTAAGAAAACCCCATTGATTTTAGCCAAAACTATCGGTTTGTTAGGAAGGAGAGCCACACTCCCATTAATATCACATGGGCCCATGATGTTTGTAGTGTTCTTCACCGCTTACCTTGTGTACAGAATACTGGCCATACATGTTATCCTCTATGTTTAATTCTTTTGGGTATATAAGTACATGTTTAAGCCATTATACTATCTCTGAATATATGGTCGTGATATGTTAGAACATACTTTCTTCCAAGTTATGAAATAGAGAACATGATACTGCCATTCTGTCACACGATATTGCTATCTGGAGTTTAATTGCCTTTTTATCATCTATTATACATTTGGAGCTTCAATAAACCATTATATAAAGCATTCGACAGATAAAGCACCAACACACATTCCTATGTTACTCCTCCATAACATGTTTTAACAAAGAAAATACTCTCACATTGTTTTACTTCCTTCATTAACCTTCAGAAAAATGGGTATTCGTATGCCTCGGATCATTCATGAAAATCAAATTTTCCAAAGGTCTTCGTCAAACGGCACACGCACATCAACAATGGATCTTCCAAAAGGCTATTTTGCAGTTTATGTTGGGGAGCAAAAGCAAGAAAAGAAACGCTTTGTGGTTCGTGTGTCGTTGTTAAGCCAACCTTCTTTTCAAGACTTATTACATCAGGCAGAGGAAGAGTATGGATATGACCATCCAATGGGTGGCCTCACAATCCCATGTAGTGAGCACACATTCTTTGATCTCGCAACTAGTTTGGGCGGGCGCATTATGAATTCAATTTATTGCATTGAGATAGTAAATAGTTTTTTTTTTTTTTTTTTTTTTTTTTTTTTTTTTTTTTTTTTTTTTTTGTAAATTATTGATTATTGACCTTTTTGCAACATGTGACACCTCATCAGTTGTCTAGGTTGTATTGAAACTCGAATTCACACTTCATTCGAATCCACTATGTATTGATTAATTATACTAGTTTATAACCCGTGATAACCACGGTTATAAAATTAATTAAACTTCGTATTAAAAAATCAAAAATATTAATCAATTATTTTAAATAAATTATTAATTAAAAGATATTTTTTTTTAGTTATATAAAATTATAATCGTTGATTTAAATAAATAGATGGAGTTATATTATTTTATCATTTATATTAATTTTATTTTATTTTTTAATCTAATGTTATTAATTTAATATAATTAAAGGGATAAATTCTAAAATTTGAAATTTAAAATGAAGAATCAATTATTAATTTAATAAAATTAGAGTGGAAAATTTAAAATTTGAAATGAATAATTAATAGGTTGACAAGTGGCATGATAAATGATATATACAACATTAATGAAGGGTTCTAATTGCATGACACTTATCAATATGAGATTAAACTTATTCTTTTATTAGAATAGAAAGATAATCTGGACTTGAATGACAAACAAAATTAATTTTAAATAGTTTTCTCAAGAAAAGTTTGACTCAATTTCAAGATTGTTTGTAGACTGATATAAGAATCTATTTCCTCAGGTTCCTAAGCTAGAATCAGATAATGCTTTAACGGATACGAGAAATTCTAAGATCAAGCATTACTGTTATTCTCTCTTTCCTATCCCTAAAACTCAGAGAGCATAACCTGGATTAAACGTAATATTTGTATCCTTCTTGTTGCATGTTTGGTTGTAATATTATTATCAAAGAATTACACAATTATGTTGTGATAAGTAAAATGTACAAATTTCTTTATAGGACTCGGTGTCTGTCCTCAACAAGATCATTGTGCACATATATGAAAAATAAGAAATATATATACATGTTTAAACATTGTTATAAGAGTATATATATACATATGTCCCGTTAATAGGTACTATTTTCTCTAGAAGAAATTGTTTTCCAGAGGGAACCAACTTTTTGCAGCTGCATGAATATATTGTTTAAGAATCCAATTTTTTATTTATCTAGTAAAGGAACAAAACTATATGCAATATATATATATATATATATATATATATATATATATATATATATATATATATATATATATATATATATATATATATATATATATATATAGGGTTATATGGAAAATAAATATTAGGGTTTGAATTAAATTTAAAGTAATTACACAAATGGTCCTTATGGTTTAGAATGTTTCTCCTAATCTATCAATCCTTAATCCTTTATCAATCTCAAATGAAAGCTTAAAATTAAAATAGTCAAAGGTCAATTTTGATTTAATACTCGGAAATCATCTCTAATTCAAAACTGATTTCTATTCTTTCAACGTAACATTTAATAGAATAGAATGAAAAGGCATTAAAGCCACTTTCCAATGAAAACCAATAACATTTAGCTTAAAGAAACAACTTAAATCAATATTAAATGAATATAATCGAGACATCATCGAAAGAGTCGGCATAATTTGAGTCGAGCATTAAAGCCGCAATTCATGAAAACCACCCTCCATGAACCTTCATTGATTCCAAAATCGTAAAAAGAATTAAAATGGAATGGTTTCACCCCAGCCAAACACCGGACCACCGAAAACAGTCGTCGGAACCACCAGCGTGTTATGCAGCACCGCCAAATACTCAACCATTTTTCCCTATATCTCTACGTTCACACACACAACTTCCTTTACCACTACTAGAAAACAAAGGGTTTTGCCACACAAAAATAACTACGGAAAATTTTTCTAGGTAATTACTTACATAATACCAACAGAATTCCTATGGAATGGGATGCCCTAAATTAGTAACGGAATAGCTACAAAATAGCTACGGAATAACAACGGACGCACATTTGTAGGTATTTCGTTGGTAATTACCTACAGAATAACAACGGAATAACGACGGAAGTAAGTCTGTAGGTATTCCATAGGTAATTAGCTATAGAATAGCTACAGACTACCCACATAAGAAAATAGCTACATAATAA